CCTATAACACCCCACAGCTCCTATGGGACAGTGAGGACACTGCCCTATAACACCCCACAGCTCCTGCAGCCCCTCACAGGCACAGTGAGGACACTGCACTATAACACCCACAGCTCATGTTGGGACAGTGAGGACACTGCCCTATAACACCCACAGCTGATATGAGGATAGTGAGGACACTGCCCTATAACAACCCACAGCTCCTGCAGCCCCTGGTCTTCCCCAAGGCCCCAGTGGCAGCTCCATAATCCGTCTCTCCCTCTTTCTCCTCCTCTCTTCTTGCTCCCTCTGCTTCTTTTCCTGTGCTCCTTTCCTGATGCTTTGGGTGCCTTGGAGCTGGAGGGGCTGGATTTTAACTCAGGTCTCGTGGATTCGTCTGTGCTGGCTCAGTGTTGGGGCGGAACATTTTCGCCCAGCTCGTGTGGTGCCCTTTGGAACTTTTGCCAAGTCCCCTTATTTTCTCCCCTAAATTATCAATAACTATCCCCTCTTGGGAACAAGCCCGTGGCTGATTCCCTTTGGGGCCATCTCCAGGTATTAAAGCACCCGATATCCCTATATTTTTAAGTCAAACCCCTGGCTGAGCCCATGAGCTCACACCTGATTCTCCCATCACATCCCCCAGGACTCACAGCCTCCAACGAGCTGCTCCTGGAAGGACACAACGGACACAATGGACAGAAAGCAGCTACAACCGGACCGAGACCCACCCCCAAAACCAGCCAGAAGAGCTGGAAAACACATCCCGTGTCCGGGAGAAAGAGGAAGAGAGGGAGCCCTTACGCCTGCCTCGCCTGCTCGATGGGGTCCCAGTTGTCCAGGTAGTTGTAGCGGACGGTGTCCGTGGGGTGTCTGTCGGACGAGCGCCAAGGGGGGAGCTCTTTCTTCTCCTTGGTTCTCCTCCTCCCGCGCGCGGGAAGTTTTGCCTCCGGGGCGTCGCTTCCGACGGGCTGCACGTCGACAACGGCGAACTCCTCCTTGGGAAGAGGCTGGGAGGAGAGGTGCAGAGAGGAAAAATAAGCTTTAGTGAGATTAGCCCAATTTTGGGCTTATTGTAATTGGGAATCAACGTTAGTTTTCCCAAGATCCATTAGGGACTGTGGAGGGAAACAGGCCCCTGACAGTGCTTGTCCCATGTCCCAAAATCTACACTAGGATGAGCTGAGCTGCTCTTGAGATGCACTGGCTTCTCCCTCTTGACTACAGAGGGAGTTTGCTTAATTAAACTCCATCCTTTAAAACTCCAGGGCTGAGTTTTGAATTCAGGGCAGGAGAATCCCAAAACTACACGGAGACAAAAGGGTCAGGAACCAGACCACCCAGTTGTCCCGCTCTAGAGGTGCTGGACACGTACCTCTGGCCTGGTGATCCACAGCTCTCTCACCATCTCAATGTAATGTCTCTTCCAGATTCCCTGCTCGAAGGGCGTTGGGCAGAAGTTGATGTACCAGCCAAAACGGAGACACTTCAGCATCCAGAGCTGATCCAGCTCAGACAAGTACTTCCAGTACCAGCTCACCTGGGAATGCCCAGTCGAAAGCTGAAAACCTCGGGGTTTCAAGCACCCAAGATTCCAGCTACAGACTCCCGTGCTCGGGGTGTAATTCCCCTGGGTCCTTAAACCAATTCCTCAGCAACGTTAATGCTCCATTTAAACCTTTGGTTCAACCATTTAAACCCTTGATTAAACCATTTAAACCCTCGATTAAACTATTTAAACCATTCAAGGTCTTCCTGGCATGGGACCCTTCCAACTCAGGATATTCCATGATTCTAAGTAATCTAACCCGCCTGTGAATGGAGAGTTCCAGTTGCATCCACTGGAGAAAATTATGACAGCAAAGGTTTAGCCAAGCTGAGATTTTGATATATTCTTGATATTACATGGAATATTATGTAAGTGCAGCAATAATGTCACCAGTATCTGAACTTTGTCATGCAGAACCACTTTGGGCAGCATCTCACAGCACTTCCTCTCATGCAAACACCTTTTTGGAGTCTCAGCCACTGGGCTCCAAATCACACCTGTAACTTCTCAGCTTCTCCACATCCAACACTTGACCCTGAAGCGTTTTAAAGGATCTGTTTTAATTTCTGTGGGTGGTTCTTCACAAGAGCACAAACCGATGTTTCCCAAAGAATTAAGGCCTCTGCACACAGTGCACACAGTGCAAGGTACTTTAGAGGAATGTGACTTTCAGAAAGTGCCAGGCGTCCTTTTTGGGAATAACCAGCCTTGAAAGTGCCACATTTTAAGTGCTTTAGCATCTCAAATTACTCTTCACTTCTGTAAATCTTGGCTGGAAGTCTGGCTTAATTTAGGAGCTGAGAACAAGCATCACTCAGCACTTGGCAGCGGCTGCCAAGTCAGAGCTCTGTGCATTCCGAGGAACAGCACTGGTGTGTCTTCACCAAAAACCGGTGGTTTCCTCTTTTTTAATCACTTTGAACCTCAAGTTGGGCTTTTTTTACCTGTGCACAGCGACAGAGGCTCCGTGGGTCCAGGAAGGAGAAGATGTACAAGGACAGGACTCGAGGAAGCCTCGTGGTGAAATCCACGGCCTCGGTGGGAATTCGGTCCTGGAGCTGCCTGGAGCAGAATTTTTGCTGTGCCAGGGAGCAGCGTTCCAGCAGGTCCACCAGGATCCTCCTCCTCTGCCCATCTGTCCACTTGTCAAACTGAAAAGAGGGAGTTTCAGGTTCAGAGTAAAAGCAGAGCTTCAGCTCCTTAAAATAAAGCACAAGTTCAGGGCAGGGAAAGTGCACGAGCAGCAGCTTCTGGTGACTCATCCAGGAGCAAAGGAACTGGGAACAAACGGAGAGGCTGCATGAAAAGCAACTCTGAAGCCACATAACATGTGATTTATAACCCTCAAAGGATCCAGGATGGCCCAATCCAGGACTCACTCCTGCTTCCAAGACTCCTTGCTCCTGGGACCAGCTCCGAGACTTGGCTTCACTCATGGGAAGGAGGAGACTCAGATGGGTGTTTACAGGATTAGGTCCCAAATCCTGAGTTCACTGCTGACTCCTTGTCTCTCCTGACACTTCCATGCCCCCCACCAGTGCAATATTTGAGTGCCTCACAATTTGTGAAGTATTTTTTCTCCCATTCCCACTGCGCAGGAGAGAAATCCCCACCACGGAGAAGAGGAGCAAAGAGAAACTAAATGAGCTGCTCATGTGTCACAAGGAGAACCTACAGCACAGAGCAGAGAATCCCAGAATCCCAAAATCACAGAATCACGGAATGGGTCAGGTTGGAAAGGACCACAGTGGGTCCATCTGGTCCCACCTCCCTGCTCGAGCAGGGTCATCCCGGAGCAGGTGGCACAGGATGGTGTCCGGATGCTCCAGGATTGTGCCCAGATGGTCCAGGATTGTGCCCAGATGGTCCAAGATTGTGCCCAGATCCAGGAGCACAGTCACAGAGACCTTTGGCAGCATTTCCATGCTCCTGGCAGGTACCTAAAGAGGGGGATGAACCCAGTTGTGGAAGAACTGAGCCCCCAGGGAAGCACAGGAGCACAGGTGGTGTCAGCTGGGTGGGAGCATCGGTGGCGGTGGCTGGTGTGGCACCGGTGTTGATAGCAGGGCATGGAAAGGGCCCTGTCAGCAGGAATCTCCTGGGAGCAGCCTGACCTCATCCCCACAATCGCTGCAATCCGGCTCCAAACCTGCCAGAGCGGTCCTGGCTCCGGGGGCAGCGCCTGAGTGCCGGCAGGGAGGAAGTGCCAGAGGACCAGCAGGCAGGAGCAGCAGGAACCCCCAGTGGGAAGTGCAGGCAGCAGAATGGCAGGGACAAACGTGGCTTTTCCTGAGGTGAAACGTGGGGTTTGGACAAGTGCTGCTTCCTCCTGTTTGCAGGAGGGACAGGACAAGGGGACGGTTTTACACTGAAAGAGCACAGTCAGCACAGGGTGGGATGGGGGTTTCCAGCTTCCCTCCTGCCTGTTTTCCTGGGAAATCCAGCTGTTTTGTCCTCCAGCTCTGGGAATCCCAACAGCAGAAGGATGGGGAGCTGCTGGAGCGAGTCCAGAGGAGGTCACAGGTGCTCTGAGGGCTGGAGCCCCTCTGCTCTGGAGCCAGGCTGGGAGAGCTGGGGGGGTTCACCTGGAGAAGAGAAGGATCCAGGGAGAACTTGGAGCCCCTTCCAGAGCCTAAAGGGGCTCCAGGAGAGCTGGAGAGGGACTTGGGACAAGGGCTGGAGGGACAGGACACAGGGAATGGCTTCCCAGTGCCAGAGGGCAGGGTTAGATGGGAGATTGGGAAGGAATTTTTGGTTGTGAGGGTGGGGAGGGGCTGGGCTGGAATTCCCAGAGAAGCTGTGGCTGCCCCTGAATCCCTGGAAGTGTCCAAAGCCAGGATGGACGGGGCTTGGATCAACC